GCAAGAACTCCAATTAACTTAAATCATCATCTCATAAAGAATAAAGGTGAAAGTACGTCTCAATTGGAGTATGCTCGTGTGTTGGGAAGCTTAATGTACATCATGAACTGTACACGACCTGATATAGCTTGTGCGATAAGTAAACTTAGTCGATTCACAAGTAATCCCAACAAACATCACTGGGTGGCAATGAAACGAGTTCTGGGATATTTGGAATATACCCAAGACTACGCTTTGCACTACAATAAATATCCTGCGGTTATCGAAGGATATAGTGATGCAAATTGGATAACCGGCTCAACAGAAACAAAGTCCACAAGTGGATATGTTTTTACTGTTGGTGGAGGAGCAGTATCTTGGAAGTCTTCCAAACAAACGTGCATCGCTCGCTCTACAATGGAATCAGAGTTTATAGCTTTGGATAAAGTCGGTGAAGAAGCTGAATGGCTTTGAAATTTCTTAGAAGACATTCCGTTCTGGCCAAAACCTTTGGCTCCTATTTGCATACATTGCGATAGTGAGGCTGCAATAGGACGGGCAGGGAGCGTTATGTATAGCGGAAAGTCTCGTCATATACGACGAAGACATAACACCGTTAGAAAACTACTTTCTAGTGGAATTATCACTATTGATTATGTAAGATCAAAGGATAATGTGGCGGATCCGCTTACAAAAGGCTTAACTAGAGAGGGAGTTGAGAAATCATCTAAGGGAATGGGACTATGGCCGAGGACAAGTTAACATGGCGGTAACTCTACCTAGAATTTTGGATGTTCCGAGATCTAGGTTCAAGGAGCTCAAACAAAGTTTTGATTGACCGGTTCAACATTGTCAAAGTAAAATCAATGGTCCCTTCTCGTGATGAAGACAATGTCCAGTAACAAGGATAGAACTTTACACGTTCTTTAATGATTACCTAAGTTTGATGTGGTAGTTATCAAATAGTGTCAATCTAAAGGATTACACGTTTAGGAATCACCTATGTAAGTGTGAAGTGGAAGCCTGTGAGGCCCCGTAAAATTTTTCGCTCAAAGCCTAGTATCTTGTGGTGTCGACTCCGAATATGTGTTAGGAATGCGTAGAATTCTTCGCGGCGCCCTTGGTATTGATCTAAGTTTGAAAAAAATCAAAAGAATCAATTTCCCAGAAAAATGCCATTATGCGGTCAAGAATGCGGTCGCAGATCCGGTATGCGGACCGCATTCCTACCGCATAGTGAAGCTGTGGTTTGGTAAAACTTGAGATCAAGATGTGGTCCAAAATGCGACCGCATAATTGATATGCGGACCGCATTTCTGCCGCAGAGTGGAACAGAAGAATTGTCAAAATTAATGCGGTCTATTATGCGATCGCATAACCAATATGCGGACCGCATAATCGTCGCATAAGCTCCTCAGGGATTTGTGAAGGTCAGTTCTGCGGTGCACAATGCGACCGCATAACAGGAATGCGGACCGCATTCCTGTCGCAGACCCAAACAGATTCATTAGAGTTTTGGGGACAATTCTGCGGTCCAATCTGCGGACCGCATTTCTGTTCTGCGATCACAGAATGCGACCGCAGATCTTGCTCGGCTTCTTTTTTTTCTAAATTTTAAAACCCGACCCTTTTTGTAATAAAACACCCAACCCCTCATTCTTTAACGATCTTCTACACAAAATAAGAGAGAGGAAGAGAGGGTCTTGAGAGAGAAAGTCATCTCCTCCAAAATTTGATTCTTCAAAGCTATCCGGGCCGGGAAATCTCAAACTTATCTTCATCCCCTTTCCCCTACAGGTAAAATCCCTAACCCTTTTCATTGAATTTCAGGTTTAAATTAGGGGGGGGGGGGTCTCATGCATTGACTTGGAAATAATGGCAAAAGATTATGCATGCGTGTTTATTAAAACCTAAAACCTAGTGGGGGTAATTGGGTGGGAGCAAAGACTTATGCAAAGAAGGGATTGATAACCTAAGTATGTTCGGGTAGTGGTTTTGAACCTTGAATTCTAAGTTACTAGTATTAGTTTGTGCACTATATTGCCGTTGCTAGATTTCGGTGAATTGGAAGTAGAAATTAAAAAGGGATTCAACTCCAGGTATGTATGGCTAACTTTAACCTTTGTAAAATCGCCCTGCTTGGTGTCCAAATACTTGGTATGTGATACCTTCATGGATTAGTTGTGAAGTTAAACTCTTGTGAGTAGTATGTGTTTCCTTGTGTAAACCATTTGTGAATTCATGTCAATGTTGTGCCTTAAACGTTGTTGGTTAAGACGTCCGATATGGTTGTGTAAGTAAATGGCAATAAACCAAGTTGTAATTGCGAATGTGTTATGTGGTAAGAACTGTGGAATAAATGATGGAAAGGAATCGAAATTGGTGATATTGAAATAACTGTGGTAACATCCTTTGTGCCTAGCTGTGGAAAATTATTGCTGTGATTTAAATGGTACAACGGGCTGTTGAAAAAGATGGAAATGGCATTGATAGTCATATAAACTATGTGTGAGTTGTGTTGTTGTTCTTTGAGATGTGTTGCTGTTGTTATTGGGATTTGCTGTTGATTATTCCTGAAACTTGTTGTTGTTCTCCTTGTAAATTGTTGTTGTTGTGCTATTGTTTGTGAATTGTGATTGCTCGGTGGGATCGGGTTGCGCGCCGCAACACGAAGTAATAAGGTGTGGGTTGTGGTGATAAGGGTGGCCGAGGTAATAAGGATGGAAAGTGATCGATATCACTATTGAAATGAAACATGAGAACATTGTGAAATTGAAAATGTGGAAATGATGATGGGGAAAAGGAGAGATTGTCAACTTGTTTGCCTTGATTGTTTTTTTTTTCCTTGTGTGTAATCAATTGTTGTTTCCCTCTATTGTTGTTATTCGTATATGGTTTGAGGTTACTCAGGGTAAAGTTTGTTATACATACCAGTACAATTCAAATGTACTGACGTCCCTTTTTGCCGGGGACGCTACATTCGTGTTATGATTGTAGGTGGATCCGTAGCAGGTACTCCAGTCCACCGATCGTAGCTCCCCTTAGTCCTCCATCAGCTTCTTGGTGAGCCCCTTTTCCCTCGGGGCCCTGCGTAGTTCAGGTCACTTGTTTTCGGAGTCTTATTTTGATTTTGTGCAAGGTATAGCCGGGGCCTTGTTACCGGCAAATACTATATTATCCTGTTGTACTATTAGAGGCTCCGTAGACAGTAGATGTGGGTTTAGAGCTTGTGTAAGGCTATGTTCATATGTTGGGCAAAGAACTTGTAATTTCATAAACTATTAAGTACGCATGTATGTTTGAAAAAGGATGTTCTAACTTAACTATACAGCTAATTTTTGGAATATTGAGTAAGGAATACATGGGGTGACATGTGGGTTAGGAAAGGCATCCAGGTTCGCTTGGCTGGGGCTACCCGGTCGGGCGCTGGTCATGTCCCTCGAATTTGGGGCGTGACAAACTTGGTATCAGAGCCTCAGGTTTAAAGGAAGTCCTAGGATGTCTCGGAGCCGTGTCTAGTAGAGCCCTACTTATCGGTGTGAAGTCGACCACATCTATAAGTGGGGGGCTGCATGGACATTTAGGAAATTTCCCACTTCTTTGTTATTCTGTATCGTGCGGTGAAGTGAAGTGTGAAAGTATCTATATCTAACTCGTGCTTTGTTCCGGGCTTTTTCAGTGATGGCACCTAAAAAGAGAGCTAGACTCGGCCTTGGGGCCAATGCCGCCACGAGTGAGGCTATGAATCATGTACCTGATGCCGTGGGTGAGAGTGACTCCCCGGCCTTGAACCTACCTGGCCCGTCTGTCCCAGACCAGCATGTTCCTGATCCTGCAGCGGCAGGGGGTGCCACCATCCCTCCCGCCGATATTCCTGAATCTGGCACCATTCCAGCTCCTGGTCCCGAGGTTTCTGATGTGGACCTTAGGGGAGCCATCCGCATGTTGACCCAGTTAGTGGCCGCTCAGGCCCAGAGATCTCAGGATCACTACAACAAATGGTGGTTTTAGCGGCAATTATTTAGTGGCAATAGCTTAATAGCCACTAAAGTATACAATAAAGATAAATATTAGCAGCCAAATAATATTAGTCAGGAATAAGTATATTTTTAGTGGCAATTCAAGAGAATAGCCCGCAAATTTTTTATTTTTACTTTTTCTCTTCCCTCTAAATTATTTTTCGCTCTAAATATTTTCCCTCCTATATAATTTAACACTCCAATTTCTCTAAAATACTACCAATCTCATTGTAATTTGGACTTCAAACTACGACTCTTCCATAAACTTGGCAAAGTTCCAGGAGTAAGAAAACCTAACATTGCAAATTGTCTTCAACAAACAAAATTCTTCATAGGTTGTAAGTACGATTTTGATTAATCTCTTTATTTCTAATTCTATATTTTTAATTCTCTCTTTACACGCTTTCTGTCTCTATCTATATCTTTTAGAATTTAGGGTTCAATGGTTATGACAACAGAAAGATTGAACCTTTTTAACTCAATACCTAAAAACCCAACTCAATTGTTTGCACCTTTCTTCGCTAAATCTCATGTTTTATTGTTTTGTGTATTCTTTGTGCTTAAAACCATAGTAGACTTTAGCTCTTTCTATAAGATATTGTTTGTTAAGAATGTATTGACTGCCACCGGATAGCTTTTGCTCTATGTTTTTACATGTGTGTTTATTAAGGCAGATGATGAAATTTCGTCTCCTGGGACTGTCATTCATGATAACTACTGAGATCATCCTATTTCTCAAATTTATTCCTAATCTTTTTTTTATTTTGCTGAAATATAATTGAATTGATTTGAATAAGATAATTTAAAATAGTGCTTTTAATTAATTGTGGTGTTCTTTCTTGTTTTAGGGAGACTATAAATTTGAATTTAAAATCTCTTGGTATGGTTTAAACTGTATTAGCTGGATCAATTCAATTAGCTAGCTTAACAAATTGAGTGTTGAGGGTGGAGAAAAATTTATGTTTTGAATTATTATGTTGGTAGTTGTTTATGCCCGTGGAATGTTTTGCTGCATTTTGTGTTCATTCTCAGAACAATTTCTTTTAGCTAGATAGACTGAGTCTCATTATTGAAGTTATGTGATTATTCTAGGTGAACTTCCACTACTAGCAATTTAAAGATCTTTGCTATGAAGGAACTCTTTCCTGTTGATTTCATCATAGTGAACTTCATTCTTAATGATTATCGTCTTGAAGTTATACCAAGTTCAAGTCGTCTTTTGGATTTGGTAATACTTTAATCTTCTTTAATTTTTAAGTAGTGAGATTTGCATTTTTATGGGGATTTTATATCAGTTATTAGAATAGAAACATATCTTTTTTGAAAGTAGTAGTTATTCTGGCTTTGTTATATGATGAATCTGGATCAACGTGTTTGTGTCTAAAAAGATCGGTTAGGATGGAGTTCGTGAGAAATAGGTGTTAGATCATAATTATCTAATCCTTAAACCTATTTAAATTTAAATCATGAACTTATACCCGTTGGTGCTCGAAAAAAAGATGGCATGCACTACAGCTATTGATTTGCTTTTGTAGAGTAGTTTTATCTCTTATTTTGTCTGCTTCTTCCATGTTTCTTAATTCACTAAGAATTTTTCTCCCTTTTACTAATTATTTTTAGTTCTTACAATAATAGTAGAAAGAAAAGGAATATCTTGAATGTCATGGACTTTCCTATAAATAAAGATGGATGTATTGTGATAGCGTTAGTAAAGAATACTTGGACGGAGTAGAAAATTTTATAAACTATGCCTTTTCTAGAAAACAAGGTGGAGAAAAAATTACATGTCCTTGTATGAAATGTGTGCTTATCCATCAAGTAAATTGGACTGCAACATATTATCATCTTGTAGTTAATAGTATTATGCCGTCATATGATGAGGATGCATGTCACAAGGCTTTGTGTGTGTGCGCACAGATCGCTATTTATTTGTTTTTAATAGTTTGAGACGAGGATGATGCTTCCTCCTATTTTGCATCTGACCTACTGGTCTGTTGGAGCTAATCTGGTACTAGTATAGGGTAATGCAGCTAGATAATTCCTTCATCTTGGAAAAGTAACTATGCAAATTAGAGGCCGCAACCGACTGGTAATTGAACAAGATGATGATGGAGATATACGACCTTATATTGAGCAATTGATGGATGGTCAAAACTACTCTGCAACCCAACTATATATTGAGCAGTTGATGGATAATCAGAACTATACTGAAGCCGAAGCACATGACGGTCAATCTAATGAGCCGAATACTTCTGCCAGTGGCACTGAAAATCAACATAATGATGAATCAGGTTATATTTTTCTCTGGGTTTATTTTCAGATTTTAGTTATGTGAAACTTTGGTTATTCTGTTTGTGTATATAGTTGTATGGTCTAGAAGGTGATCTTCTTACAGATTTGTTCTGAAGTTACATGTTTTAGTTAAGATTTATCACTTTTGGATATTTTTGGTTCAGATTTAGTATCCCTTCTTTAATGGAAAGTAAGGCTTGAAAATCAGTTCCATTACTACTTTGTAACTTTAATTCATGAGAGGTGAACATGCATGGTAGGAAGGTTAGATGAAAGCATAAGAAAAAAATTACATTGGAATCTTGTTGTTTAGTCATTTTATGTATTTGTTATTTTTCTTTTTCATTCATGGACTAAGAACAGAGAAAGTGATCCTTTCTATAGCAGAATTAATATGAATTCCTGATGAGCCTTGATGCACTTGGAAGTTTAAATGTATTTCTGCCAACAGAAAGTCAATGAAAATTGTCCACTTTTCCTTTTTTAAGTGCAACGATTTCTGACCATTTCTAAATTCTACTAACCAATCTCCTCGTAGTGTTGTTTGGAAAGGCGATGTATATTTCTAGGTGTTGAGAAATAAAAAATGTGGGTGTGTTCGTGGTTTAGGACTTGGTCCTACTCCATCTGTTCTATGGGGTAATAGATCTTCCTTAGAAAATATTATTACAGAGGATTCATCTAGCGAGACTGTAAAAGGGTTCGAATAGGAGATAACCGAGTTAAAGGAGAAACACAATGAAGAAATGAATTTGATGAAACAAAATCAGGAGAGGATGCAATTAGAATTATTCCAAATGAGACAATTCATGCGCAAATATGCTCCTAATGAACCTATGCGTCAAAATATCAATGGCAACTCAACTGAACAGGTAACTCGATTTTATAAATTTTAGACATTTTTAATGAAAATTTAATCCAATAAAAGTATCGTTAACTAGTGTGTTAACATTTATCAGGTTCCTGACGCCAACAGTGGCCATGAACGAGTACCACAAATATCAAGGATGCCTAGTGTTGCTGAAAATACTTTACCTTCTCACGGTATTACTCATATTTATCCTTCGGCCCTACTATTTGAGTTTTCTATTATTTGAGTTTTTCTCCTTGGATTTATATTAATTTGTTATTTTATTTGTACTTACCTTAGTGATATAAGTTACCACTTATATGGAACTTAACAAGAACACATGGTAGTTGCTACACGAGGCCACTATCCCAATTTTCTAGGCTTTGATCCATATCTTTTTATTTAATTTCATCTAGGTTGTCACAATACAGAAATACAACTGAGGACATAATGCATCACACATATTGTTCTTACAAAAAGAAAATTTTCAAGAGTTTTATCAATGTATTACTACATAGTGAAAAGATTATTTATATATCCAGTTAAATGAGCCCAAAGGTAAATTAAGATTCAGGAATTACGAGCTTGAGAAAAGTACAGAAGCATGATCATTTTGGGCAACCAATAGTCTGATACAGTATCTTGAGCATGGCATGGGTTTGTATTTATCAAGTACATTTCAATTTCTTTACACTTCTGGTTTTAGTAATTTCTTCTCTTGTTCTTTGCTAGACGCCTTCCATTCCGTGGATTCAAAATTTCAATATGATTATAACACTAATCATTGTAATGTCCTTTAGTGTCATGTTCTTGATTATATATAACTTTAGCATTCTGAGTTTGCATTTCTCAACGTACACGAATCCTTAAAGTACATCAACAATATTTTCTGAATTTGCTGATTAATCTAAAACTAAAAATAGTGCGAGTTGCTTCCTGGTCCAAATCAGCTAATACTTTCAAGCTTCTAAAAATTTTAAGTACAATATTAGGTAGTCTGCTAACACGTGCTTGTTGGGAATTCCAATGATAGATAAAACTACTATAGGAGAAGCTAGTTAAGCCTAGATGCATCTTGCACTGGAATTGTGGAAATAAGCAACATATTAGATTTTTCTCTCGTGACTATACACATCTAGTGCTTAATGCAGTTATGTGAATTTTTAAGATACTTTATCTCTTTTACAATTGAAAGAGTATGTACTAGTCATATACTAGTGTAACCTTTCCCTTTGTTGTGTAGATTTTCCTTGATTTTAGAATGACTTATATGGGAACCAAAACGATATATCCCATGTAGTAAACTTATCCTTGCTTCTTGTGGCTATTTTTTCATCGTATATAATGTGATTTCTTAAAATAAAATTTCAAGGAGAATGATGATTTGCTGATATACTAGAAGCTAATATAGAGAACCTTAAAATTTAGTAAGTTCTCGTACATAATTAAAATATTTAGGCATTATCTCTTTTGTTGGAAGTTCTCGTACATTAAATTTTTTTGTTTCCAGAAAATTTCTACGAGACTTGTATTGATATAGAAGATTCATATAGCTCATCTCTACTAGCTAACATGTTTTACGTCCTGTGGTAGTTATGTTTAGATATAACTTCATATTAATCGTGTGATGATTTCATGAGTTTCTTGTTGCAATGGTCCATATAACTTAGTCTTGAAATTGTGATTATTTTTAAGTTCTTATCAGAAACCAATTATTCTTAAGTTAGTTGTAGTTTCTAGAGAAATTTAATTTCAACTATTTGTGATACATACGGGCCTAAAGCACTCACTTCAACTCGTCCTGCAGTGTATGACTAAGCCTAAGGTTTTATCGAGGTTAAGGTACATAATTTTCTGTCACCTATTTGAGAGGTTCATTAATAGTGTGTAACCATAGTCTAGTATCTATGTTTAAGAAAAAGAACTTGGCAATTATTACATTTGCTAATGACTTGGTGTGCAGCTTCTTTTTGCTTCTCCAAGCTAATAGATTGCTTTTGAATTATTTTTTTGTTTCTTCTCGATCATAATAAAGAAAAAACTCCATTTCATTGTTTGCACATCCATTTCTCTTGACTATTGTTCCATCTAGTTATTTTTGCTTATAAATATTAGGTGAGGGATTTGGATGAATAAGATTCTGACGGTGATGTAGTCTTCAAGATATTTTTCACATTATATTTCATCTTTTAACACTTTTTTTTAATATAATTTCAGGCCATACAATATGATATTTGATCATTTAGCGGGTGCAAGATTTCAATATTATGAAAAGTTGCGGAAATTAATTGAAGACTATCATTCGTCAGGATCAGTTACATAATAGCATTAGCTATTTCATTCAAACAATATAAGTTTATATTTTAAGTTAATGTGACGTTGATAATTTTGATTGGTACTTCCTTTTGTTTGTTAAGATTCAGTGGGATATATTATTTTTTTTGGATTATTATTGATACATTTTGTTCTTTGGATCATATTTTGGATGAATGTAGTAACTATATTAATGGTGGCTAAATTATTTTCATTACAGCTTGTGACTTTTAGCTCTAATTTAATTGGATATACCGGCTATATAAATGGACGATAAAAGAGCAAATTAATACGTTTCCACAAGGATATTATAGCCATTATAATTACTGAAAAATAATTGTTGTTAAAGATATTGACTTTTAGCGACAATTCAGTTGAATATATTAGCCGTTAAAATGGACGTTAAAAGGGCAAATTAAGATGTTTTTAGAAGGATACTACAACAATTCTAATTGCCACAAAACAATTGCCATTAAAGATACGAACTTCTAGCGGCAATTATTTTGAATTTAGTGGCTATATAAAAAGACGCTAAAGGAGCATAGTTAGCCGTTCTTGGATTGGATTTAGCAGCCATCATAATTGCCGTTAAAACTAATAGTTTTTAGCGGCAATAAATCATACCTTTTACCAGCTTTTGTGAGAATAGCCGCTAAAGGCTTTGCCGACGCCAACATCAGCGGCTAAATACCAATGGCCGGTAAAAGATATAGCGGCCATTGTTATTGCCGCTAAAGCCATTTTAATTGCCGCTAAAGCCCCTTTTTGTTGTAGTGGATGCCCTTACATCCTCTAGCGGACAGGGAGATTCTACCAGCTCCAGAGTTAACCAGTTTTTGCGGTTAGCCCCACCAGAGTTCTCAGGCACAGACCAGAGGCCGATCCGCAGGAATTTCTTGATGAAATGTATAAGACCCTCCGAGTGATGAAAGCTTCAGAGACGGAGGGAGTTGAATTGGCATCATACAGGTTGAGGGGAGCAGCGTATTCATGGTTCGAGATGTGGGAGGACTCCCGTGGGGAGGGAGGACCTCCGGCCAGATGGGATGAGTTTGTAGATGCGTTCATGGACCAGTTCTTGCCTGCTGAGACAATCGCAGCCCGTGCCACGGAGTTTGAGACCCTCAAGCAGGGCAGTATGAATGTTTGGGAGTACCACATGGAGTTCGTGAGATTGTCCAAGTATGCTCCTCAGTTAGTGTCGACCATGGCAGCTAGAGTTCGGCGATTTGTTCAGGACCTTAGTCCCTTGGTAGTAAATGAGGCTGCTACAGCGGCCTTACACTCGGATATGAACTATGGAAAGATTGTGGGATTCGCTCAGGCCACAGAGGCTAGGAAATTGAAGATTCGGGCGGAAAGGGAGAATAGCAACAGGGCCCGATCAGCAGGTCACTCAGGGAGATCAGCTCAGGGGAGAGGGTCGTCAGGGCCGTCCCAGTCATATGTTCAGTCCTCAGCGAGCGCACCATCATCTCTGCACTGTTATCAGCAGAACAGCCGCATGAGACCAGGTTCAGACAGTAGGAGATCCCATCAGTCCGGTCGTTCAGGAGGGAGATCATAGCAGCAGGGGAGGGCTCCATGCCCCAAGTGTGGGAGATTTCATACAGAGACTTGTTACCTGGATATCCCGGTGTGTTTCAGATGCGGGTTGAGAGGTCATATTCAGCGAGACTGTCGTGTGCCCAGTCAGGCCATGGGTAGGGGATCTGCTCAGTCGTCCGGTTCTTCAGTCGCCACACCATCTGTGCGTCCTCCAGCCCCAGCAGGCCGTGGTACCGTTAGGGGTGGAGCCCGTGGTAGAGGTAGACTCAGCCGGTTTTATGCTTTGAGTGGTCGTCAGAGTGCAAAGGCTTCTCCAGATGTGGTTACAGGTATCTTGTCTGTTCAGGCCATTGATTGTTATGCTCTTATTGATCCGGGGTCCTCTTTGTCTTATGTCACCCCATTCATTGCTTCAAGCTTTGGGATAGAACCCGAACAGCTTCATGAGCCATTCTTTGTATCGACTCCTGTTGGTGATTCTATTACACCCGTGCGAGTTTATAGGAATTGTGTTGTCACGGTATGTGGTCGCGTTACTACGGCCGATCTTATCGAGCTTGGAATGGTGGATTTTGATGTGATTATGGGGATGGACTGGCTTTATTCGTGCTTTGCTAAACTTGACTGCCGAACGAGAGTCATGAGACTCGAGTTCCTTAAGGAGCCGGTTATCGAGTGGAAAGGGAATGATGTGGTGCCGAAGGGTAGGTTTATCTCCTACCTTAAGGCTTCAAAGATGATTAAGAAGGGATGTATCTATCATTTGGTCCGGGTGGCGGACACCACTTCAGAAGTGTCTACCCCCGAGTGTGTGCCAGTCGTGAATGAGTTTCTCGAAGTGTTTCCGGACGAGCTTCTAGGGATTCCACCAGATAGGGAGATTGATTTCGGGATTGATGTATTGCCAGATGCGCAACCAATATCTATTCCACCATACAGAATGGCTCCAGCGGAGTTAAGGGAGTTAAAGGAGCAGCTGAAGGATTTATTAGAAAAGGGGTTCATACGGCCGAGTGTGTCGCCGTGGGGTGCTCCGATTCTCTTTGTCAGGAAGAAGGATGGGTCGCTCCGGATGTGTATTGATTATCGGTAGCTCAACAAAGTCACCATCAAGAATAAATATCCTCTGCCTCGGATTGATGATTTGTTCGACCAATTGCAAGGTGCAAGGTTTTTCTCCAAAATTGATCTACGGTCCGGGTATCACCAATTAAAGATTAGGGAGCAGGGCATTCCCAAGACCGCTTTCAGAACTCGCTATGGCCACTTTGAATTCTTGGTCATGTCTTTTAGGCTAACTAACGCCCCGGCAGCCTTTATGGATCTTATGAATCGTGTCTTCAAGCCATTTCTAGACTCCTTCGTGATTGTTTTTATTGACGACATCCTTGTTTATTCGTGGAGCCGGGAGGATCATGCCGGTCACCTCAGAGCAGTTCTGCAGACTCTTCATCAGCACCAGTTGTATGCTAAATTTTCAAAATGTGAGTTTTGGTTGGAGTCCGTTGCCTTTTTGGGTCATGTTGTTTCTAGTGAAGGGATTCAGGTAGACCCCCAGAAGATTGCAGCAGTAAAAGATTGGCCTAGACCCACGACCCCGACGGAGATTCGTAGCTTCTTGGGTTTAGCAGGGTATTATCGGAGGTTTGTAGAGGGATTCTCTGCCCTCGCCTCCCCATTGACCAAGTTGACACAGAAAGCAGTTAAGTTCCAATGGTCCGACGCTTGTGAGAAAAGTTTTCAGGAACTGAAGTCAAAGTTGACCTCGGCACCAATATTTACCTTGCCGGAAGGCACGGAAGGATTTGCGGTTTATTGCGATGCCTCCAGGGTTGGTTTGGGGTGTGTGTTGATGCAACATGGAAAAGTTATAGCGTATGCCTCGAGGCAGCTCAAGAATCACGAGAAGAATTATCCGACGTATGATTTGGAGCTTGCGGCAGTTTGTTTGCTTTGAAAATATGGCGGCATTATCTTTATGGGGTCCATGTGGATGTGTTCTCAGACCACAAGAGTCTCCAGTATTTGTTTAAGCAGAAGGAATTGAATCTAAGGCAGCGACGGTGGTTAGAATTACTCAAGGATTATGATATGAGCATTTTGTACCATCCAGGGAAGGCGAACGTGGTGGCCGACGCTCTCAGTCGAAAATCTATGGGTAGCTTGGCTCATTTGGGAGTGGATCAAAGGCCCTTGGCTCGGGAGGTTTATCAATTGGCCAGTCTAGGGACTTGTATTTCGGCATCAGACGAGGGGAATGTTATGGTACATAATGGAGCAGAATCGTCAGTCGTAGCGGAAGTCAAGGAAAAGCAGTTTATCGATCCAGCATTGGCTCAAATGAAGGAAGCATTTTTGAGTGACAAGACTTCGGTATTTTTACTCGACGGCAAGGATGGTGTATTGCGGTGTCAAGGTAGGCTGTGTGTTCCGGATGTGGATAAGCTTCGGGAGAGGGTAATGGCGGAGGCTCATAATTCCAGGTATTCCGTGCATCCAGGTTCTGCGAAAATGTATCATGACCTCAAGGAGATTTATTGGTGGAACGATATGAAGAAGGGTGTGGCGGACTTTGTATCTAAATGTCCGAATTGTCAGCAAGTGAAGGCTGAGCATCAGCGGCCCGGTGGGTTAACCTAGCTCATGGAAATACCAATGTGGAAATGGGAGATGATCAACATGGATTTCGTGGTAGGATTACCTCGCACTCAGCGCAAGTTCGACTCGATTTGGGTAATAGTGGATCGGCTCACCAAATCAGCTCACTTCTTGCCAGTCAAGTCCACCGATACTGCAGAACAATACGCTAGGTTGTATATCAAGGAGATAGTAAGGCTTCATGGCACTCCGCTTTCTATTATCTCGGATCGAGGGGCCCAGTTCACAGCTAATTTTTGGAAGAAATTTCAGCAAGGTTTGGGTACTCAGGTGAATCTCAGCACAGCTTTCCATCAACAGACTGATGGTCAAGCGGAGCGGACTATTCAGACGCTTGAAGATATGTTGCGGGCTTGTGTCTTGGATTTCAAAGGTAATTGGGATGATCACTTGCCACTTATAGAATTTGCTTACAATAACAGCTTTCATGCTAGCATTCAAATGGCCCCATTTGAGGCATTGTACGGAAGGAGGTGCAGGTCTCCGATCGGATGGTTTGAAGTGGGTGAAGCAGAATTAATAGGACCGGATCTTGTGCACCAGGCTGTGGAGAAAGTTAAAATCATTCAGGAAAGGATGAAGACTGCTCAGAGTCGCCAAAAGTCGTATGCGGACATTCGTCGAAGGGAATTGGAATTTCAAGTTGATGATTGGGTGTTCTTAAGGGTATCTCCTATGAAGGGAGTCATGCGATTCGGGAAGAAAGGGAAGCTGAGTCCTAGATACGTCGGGCCGTACCGGATCGTTCAAAGGGTAGGGCAGGTGGCCTATAGGTTGGAATTGCCTCCCGAAATGTCATTAGTGCACCCGGTGTTCCATGTATCTATGTTGAAGAAAGTAGTTGGAGATCCGTCCGCTATCGTGCCAGTCGAGACTATCGAGGTTAATGAAGAGCTGTCGTATGAAGAGGTTCCGGTTGCCATTCTTGATAGACAAGTTCGTAAATTGAGAAATAAGGAAGTTGCCTCAGTTAAGGTGTTGTGGCGAAGTCAGCAAG